TCTTAAAACTTGAGGTTTAGGACCAAGTGTCCTTAACTTTTGATCTTAAAACTTGAGGTTTAGGACCAAGTGTCCTTAACTTTTGAACTTACAACTTGAAGTTTAGGACTAAGTGTCCTGAACTTTTGAACTTGAAACTTGAAGTACAGGACCAAGTGTCCTTAACTTTTCAATTTGAAAGTTGAAGTTCAGGACCAAGTGTCCTTAACTTTTTAACTTGGAATTCAAAGTTAAGGACTGCATGTCTTTAACTTTTGAACTTGTTACTCTAAGTTAAGGACTGCCTATCCTTAACTTCTTTACTTGTAACTTGAAGTTTAGGACTACTTGTCCTTAACTCTCTAACTTAGTTTCTTTCTCATGATTTAAAGAAATCAAAGCTTGATACTTCGTTGAAGATTTATGTGAAACCTGATGAAAGGACCATAGAGAGAGAATCTAGTGTTCCAATTACTAAAGATGGAGTTGATGATCATTGTCGTGGTACAGAGCCTACTGTTACAATCAACAAAGATGCAGCTGGTGATGAACGTGATGATATGGATATGCATGCAGAAGTTCAGTATGAAAGCAATTTTAGAGATGCACATCTAGATGATGAAACTGAGAACGTCACTGATATTAGGAAAGGTTAGATATAGATTTTGAATTTTTTTCATTGAAATTTATATTCAATAGCGTAATACATATAAACTTTTTTGTGATTACAAATATTTGTAGAATCTATTGATGGAGTGGAAGTTGAAGATGTAGGAGAATGTCAAGACCAGGAAAATCCAAAAGAGACAGGAGTAACAGAAAAAATTTGTAAATGTGGATTGCAAATCTCATGAGGATTTAGAAAGTCTATTGGGAACAAGTGTCAGTGAGATTGTATGCAAATGCTTAGAAGGAACATATGATCTGTCTACACCTCTGTCATATAAAGAGAAATTTGGAGTTCAAACTTATGCCAATCAAGGTTAGATAAAATTTTCATTATATATTGAATGTTAGTTTTAGTGAATTATTAGAATGGGTATTCATTACAAATGTTATAAAATCTTTTAAAGCTGCAAGGGAAGAAGATGGAGTGGAGTATCAAGAGAAAAGTGGAGTACAATCTCAAGACGTAGAAAATACCGAAGGAACAAGCAGAAGTGAGATTGTTTCCAAATGCATAGATGGAACATGTGATCTCTCTACACCTCCCTCTCTTACCGACAATATTGGAACCTAAGAAAATGCTAGTGAAGATAATGATTTAATTGGGATGATCTTGACTATTGCAAACGGTTAGATAGTGTTTTTTTTAATTTTATACATGTTTGTTTTAATTAAAGATTAGTAACAAGTACTAATTGTGTTAGCTCTTGTAAATATTTTGCAGAATCTTGTGAACTTGCAACTAAAGAACAAGGAGAAAAATTGCAAGATAAATAAAATGTGCAGTTGGAAGATAAAGAAAATGATGCAAGCAATATGTTAGCTGAATTGTCTATCGAAAAAACACAAGAAGGCAGTGTGAAGAAGACATGTATTGATTGCGTCCTAAATATTATATTCATAATTGAAATTTTGTCTCTTCATTTGACAACTTCCAGCAAACTAATATATATATAGTGTTTCCTGTAGAGGAAAACAATGATGAAGCCCTTAACCAATATACAAAGAAACAAGAGAGATAGTATTGGTTATGATGGTCCGTCATTTTCTATTCTTACTCCTACTTCTCCAAGTACACAAATGAGCATTGATGAGGGTTTGTCTATGGAGGTTGAAGGAAATGTTGAAGAAGAGCTTGGTCGAGGTAAAAGGAACAAGAAGCTTAGTTGGCAGTGGAAATCTCCTTTTGATCAGGAAAGAAAAACAGGAACATCGATGGCAGACAATCAAAATACTCCCAAGAGTTCAGGCTGGATAAAATCAACATATACTCGTAGGTGTATTTTTCATTATGCCACAGATGATGCAAAATTATTGAAGAAATTCATTGTGTGGTTGGGCAAGGAGAAAAGGAGAGGTCGCAAAAAAGAGTAAGTCCCTTAATGTATTTCAGTATTGATATTGAAATTGCTAAAGTTAAGTGTCCTTAACTTCTATGATTGTAAGTCTAAGTTTAGGACCAAGTGTCCTTAACTTTTGAATTTGAAAATCAAAGTTAAGGAGCAAGTGTCTTTAACTTTTCAACTTGGAAATCAAAGTTCAGGACTAAGTGTCCTGATCTTTTGAACTTGTAAGTCAAAGTTCAGAACCATGTGTCCTTAACTTTCGAACAAAGTTAAGAACTTCCCATCCTTAACTTTTGAACCTGCAAGTCAAACTTAAGGACTCCTGTCCTTAACTTTTGAACTTAATACTCAAAGTTAAGGACATACAGTCCTTAAGTTTTGAACTTTGAACTCAAAGTTAAGGACAGAGTGTCCTGAACTTTTAAATTTATAAGTCTAAGTTCAGGACCATGTGTCCTTAACTTTTGAACTTGAAACTCAAACTTCAGGACCAAGTGACCTTAGCTTTTGAACCTGTAATTCAAATTTAAGGATTGTTTGTCCTTAATTTTTCAACTTGAAAGGCTAAGTTCAGGACTAACTTCTAACTCTGATATTTTCAAAATTTTCAGGGGACAAACTGATATATATGCTAATGATAATGGTGTGAGAAAGAATCTATACAAATTGTATCATCAAAAAATCAGTAGCAAAATGTTCTTCCTTGAGCTTTCAGGTAGTAGCTTTGTACTTGATGATAAGATTAGATAATTCGCAAGGCATTTATTTTCTTTATTCTTAATTTATCATTTTAATTATTTTATAACTGATGGATTTTATTTTATTTTTTGCCTTTTTATGAAGCATATTGACATTGCCCTATATTATATGAGAAAGAAGGAGTGCTACTACCCTCGCGACCATCCTTTTTGTTGCACAACTACTGATATTCTTTTTGATAACTATATGGTGCTTGTGTATAAAGATTTCAGTGAAGATGCTATTGATGACTTTTGGTGTGCTGGTGATAATTAGTTGTTTCTGACACCATATGTGTGGGGGGACAGTTGTAGATGTGGAATTGCTTGGACAGAGGTTGACAAAATCTTTTTTCCATGTCGGCTTCCTTCAGAAGATAATAATGCTGTGACACACTTTCTTTTGGCGGTATTGGACTTGAATCAGAAAAAAATTGATGTATACGATTCCATATATAGTGAGCCATATGAGGCAGGAATGAATCACATGGAAATGTATGCATGCATGATCCCCCACTTGCTAAAGTTCTCACAGTTTGACAAACATCACAAGTCTTTTAGAAATGCCTTCAAAAAATTTGATATTCAGTGGCAAAGATCACCACACCAAACTGGATCGTACGTGTTGTTATTTGTTATATTATTTATATGTACTTTAGATTTATTGTCTAATTCACTGCATATCTTACATTTTTCTTAGGACTGATTGTGATGCATTCCTGATCAAATACGTGGAGTTGTTGATGATTGGAAAGGATGTGGAGATATTCCAACCTGAAGACATAAAAGACTTTAGAAAAGAACTTGCCGCAAATCTTTGGGCACATGGTGAGTGGAAAAGAAATTCTGGTTATGATACACCACCAGAAAATGTTGGCGATGATTATGAGAGTGAAAATAAAACTTGCTGTCCAAAGGAGTTGTAGTTTAGTCGTAAAGAAAGTTAGTTATGGTTCATCTTTTGTATAAAATTGCTGTAAAGAATCCATATGGATTCTGCAAGTTCAGAAAACTTTTGAAATATTCTGTAAATTCCTCAAAAAGCACTTATATTTTGTTTGCGTAACATAATTTTTTGTCACAGCTATGCATAATTACAATTTCAGAAGTAATATCAAGGCATCATGTTATTAATTTCTTTGTTTCTCTCAAGTGTTAATTTGTCCATTGAGTTTGTTAGTATTAGTTCATAACTAGGTGTAATTGAACTTTAAATTCAAAGTTAAGGACCAAGTGTCTTAAACTTTTGAACTTTAAGCACAAAGTTAAGGACTGTCTGTCTTGAACTTTTGAACGTGTAATTCAAACTTAAGGACTGTCTGTCTTAAACTTTTGAACGTGTAATTCAAACTTAAGGACTGCTTGTCCTTAACTTTTGAACCTGCATGTCAAACTTAAGGACTCCTGTCCTTAACCTTTGAACTTTGAACTCAAAGTTAAGGACTGCTTGTCCTTAACTTTTGAACGTGTAATTCAAACTTAAGGACTGTCTGTCCATAACTTTTTAACCTGCAAGTCAAACTTAAGGACTCCCGTCCTTAACTTTTGAACTTGAAACTCAAAGTTAAGGACAAACAGTCCTTAATTTTTGAACTTTGAACTATAAGTTAAGGACTGTCTGTCCTTAACTTTTGAACTTGAAACTCAATGTTAAGGACAAACAGTCCTTAAGTTTTGAACTTTGAACTATAAGTTAAGGACTGCCTGTCCTTAACTTTTGAACTTTGAACTATAAGTTAAGGACTGCCTGTCCTTAACTTTTGAACTTTGAACACAAAGTTAAGGACAACCTGTCCTGAACTTTTAAACGTGTAATTCAAGCTTAAGGACTGCCTGTCCTTAAATTTTGAACCTGCATGTCAAACTTAAGGACTCCTGTAAAGTTAAGGACAGACAGTCCTTAACCTTTGAACTTTGAACTCAAAGTTAAGGACTGCCTGTCCTTAACTTTTTAACGTGTAATTCAAACTTAAGGACTGTGAACTTGAAACTCAAAGTTAAGGACAGACAGTCCTTAAGTTTGAACTTTGAATTACAAGTTAAGGACTGCCTGTCCTTAACTTTTGAACCTGTAACTCAAAGTTAAGGACTGCATGTCCTTAACTTTTGAACTTGAAACTCAAAGTTAAGGACCACTTGTCCTTAAATTTTGAACATGCAAGTCAAACTTACGGACTCCTGTCCTTAACTTTTAATCTTTGAACTCAAAATAAACAAAAAAAAGGTAAGCATAAAGAAATTTTGAAAATTCAAACATCTGCTCAATTAAGAATAATCTAAATGAATCCAATTTATAGCAAAAACTTAAAAGAGTCAATAAACATAAGTGGATATATCTATTATTCTCTATGCTTTCTTGAAAATGGATGGACTGCGGGAGAATATATACAAGCTGTTCTATTATGACCAATTCTTCTGCAACGACCACATTTGAATGTTATTTTTGATGATTCGGTAGCTGGAATATGCCTTTTCTTCTGCTTTATACCTGGTGGCACTTTGAAATCTGGAGGTTTAAAAATTTGTGACTTAATACTCTCTAGTACAATCCAAGAATCAGTATGTCCTACAGGATGTATTTGTCTTTCATATGTTTTCAGCCAAGATTCTTTTAAGTACCAGTGCGAACAAAAGTTGGACTTCTTGATGTTTCTCTTCTCGATAGCTGCAATTGCATGTATGCATGGTAATTCATCAAATTGAAACTGAAAACAATCACATGTTCTTTTGTTTAAGTCCACCGAGAAAGTTATTCCTTCTTCTTCAACTCAAGAACACCATGAATCAACAGGGAAGACCTTCAATGTTGAAAAATTATAAGTTAGTACATTATGTTAAATTATATTAAAATCATAAGCTAAACATAGAACATAATACTTACATTCAACGTAAATACTAAATCTATTTTTTTCTTCAATTTATCCTCTACCCAACAAGAAACATCATAAAAAGTTACTTCTGCTTCATTTCTTCTTTCATAAAACCAACGTTGTAGCTTCACTTGAATGAAATCCATCATTTTTAATATAGGCAGCTCCCTTGCTTCTAAAAGGACAGAATTCATTGACTCAATTATGTTTGTTGTGAGCATATCATATCTTTGTCGTGGACTACAAGAACGTGCCCACCTTTCCGGTGGTTCTTCCATCAAGTAGTCATAAGTCTTCTTATCTACTTTTGCTATATCTGACATGTATAGATCAAATTCTTTGCGCCTGTATACTCTTGCAGCACTTTGAAAAAGTTTTATGACCTCACTTTTCACCTTCCTTTGCTTTAGGTTCTGCTCCAAATGATAGATGCAAATCCCATGATGGCTTTCCGGATATACCTTTGCAATGCCATATGCAATAGCTTGATGCCTGTCTGATAAAAAAATTAAATTCTCACGGCTCCCTATTGCATTGCAAAGCTGACTAAAGTACCACTCATAGGTGTCACACCCCTTTTTTACAAACCTCACTAATCCTCTTAAATAGAATAAAAAGATTTAGTAAAGCTCGAAAAAAAATTTCAATTAGAAAGTGACAAAATTGTGTTCAAAAGGAAATAACTCAGAGTCGCCACCTGACTTTGATTTCGGTGTGTCAGGTCACCGTTTTTCTTTTAAAATGACTTTTCCTTTTAAAATATTTCAGACTCTAAAACTAAGTCTACACCAGAGATTCGGGTAAGGGGGTTTATTTGACTCGGGGAGAAGGTGTTAGGCACTCCCCAAGTCCCGTAATTAGTACGGTTGCATACTCGATCAAGTTGGCTTCTAAAATATTCGAATTGAGGCGAAAAATACAGAAAAAGAAAAATAAACACACAAGAGGCTCGAGGTCGTCCCCACCTAGATTAAACAAAACAAGAAAATAATAATAGCCTATACTATGTTCACTCTACCATGTCTATCACGGCCTTCAATTACATTCACTTAGGGACATACCCCTGATAAAAGAACACAAAAATATATAAACAAACTCTATGGGGCATTCCCCCGATGAATTAACTAAAGGAACGACCTCCCGCCTTAAAACTAACAAAATCCTAAGGCTTGCCTACCCGAGTGTGGTCGGCCTAAAGTATACTCCTAACGGGTTTAAACAATACAAAGCAAAATGAAGTAACAAACAAAAATAATGTGACAGTAAAAATAAAATGTAGTGCTTTATAGCCAAACCCAAGCCATATATGAATTTGATTGATCCATGTTTATATAATATTCAAGTTCTTTTAAGTTTACCGAATCCCAACCCCCATGTCCCATTTGAAGCAAATTAAACCAAACAATTATGGCACCTAAATTCACGTGTTTCATTNCTAAAATATTCGAATTGAGGCGAAAAACACAGAAAAAGAAAAATAAACACACAAGAGGCTCGAGGTCGTCCCCACCTAGATTAAACAAAACAAGAAAATAATAATAGCCTATACTATGTTCACTCTACCATGT